AGAGAATGTGGTTTCACAGATCTCTGTATCATTGGGAAAAGACCTATCCTGGAACTCAACTGAACCTCTCTGAAAATAAAATGTTAAGATAGATAAAGGTAAATCATACACATTTGTCTGAGAAAGGCCACCATGAGTTAGTTTTCTCACTGCCATCAAGGACACACTGACGCTCACAGCAGACCAACCCAGTGCTGCTTAGGAGAGACTGTGAAGGACCTGATTTCATGGATAGGTAAGGATGGTTAGCAGTAAGTCTGCTGGGAAACAATTATAAAGTGCTGGAAAACCACATGCTCTTGCATACTTCAAACAGCACACCTGAAATACCATTTCCTCTAATATGTATCTAGAAACTCTCGGCTAGACTCTCCATGAGGCTTCACAAATTGTGAACTAATGGTGAACAAATTGGTGACATTGTGCTTTACCCCTGCATGAGCAACCACAAAAAGTCAGTTCCCAAAAGCAAAGGGTCCATAGACTCTCTGGAAAACGCAGCAGAGGTGGCTGCCGGGGCACCATGAACAAGCTGAGGGGAGCATCCCTACATGTGCCAGCGACCGGCACTCTTCACAAATGGCCCTCTGCAGTCCATCAACATGGCTAAACTAAGGCGTTTTTCACACATATATGACATTGCATAGAGAAAAAAGGTTCATAATGCATGATGTGTAAGTAAAATTGTAATCTTTAAAATTTTGCATGTATGAACTATAAATCCAGTCACTGTACTTATTGAGCACAAGTGAAATTATACTGTTTTTAATTTCCAGTGATAACTAAAGTATGAGAAGTGAATGAGGATAAAAAAAAAAACACTTACCCATAAGACCTTCTCATTGTTGACTTGTCAAAAAGTAATTCACTGTAAGGCAATTTCTTAAACTTATCTCTGCCGACAGCCACATAAAACTGACCATTCTCCAGCTCTGCCCCATTCTCAACCAGCTTTCCTTCTAAAGTATAAAGTCTGCCAAAATATGAATGTCAACAATTAGAATTTTAATAGTCATTGAAATAACTGATTAGAATTGCAAAGCAAACAAACACATTCTGTTCCTAATTTGGCTCATCATCTGTTATTACCCTAATTATTGAATTACTAATGCCTCAAAGTCGTTAGATTCAACTAAATGCCAATGTTATAATGCAGGCACAGTTGTTATCTGGCTATGCAGTGTTTCATCCCAATGAACCTGACAATCTAACGTAAGTATCCCCTGTGGCTACCATATTAAGATTTTAGAGGGAAATATTTAACTTGTACAGAATATGGTCCTTTAAATACAGTTCAGCCTCTACTGAAGTTGGAATGTTCTGTTTCTAGTTAGTGAGCACTTTAAAAAACTATTTTCTTAATTTGTCAGGTTGATAAGCCTCTTACAGTATTCTGTGGAAGAGCAGCCCTCAGCCAAAATATTATATCCAAACACACCGAATTGGGTCAGAAAACAAGAGGTGAAAGGGCAAGAGGTGAAGGAACCCATTACCAGTATTAATGATGCAGGACCGCATAGCATTTGTGTTTCTTTTTTTTTTTTTTTGGCCTTCCCTCATCTTCCCAGTATCAAGAGGTTTCACAAGAATCTCCCTTTACTGTAAAATTGCTGCTGCAAGCTACAATTCATATGTTACTTATTAAAAGAACAGTGATAATTTTCTGGACAATTTAAAGTGTGCACAGAACTTTTTTAAAGAAGGAAAAAAGAAAGCAGACTATTAGAAAACTATGCCAGATGACAATATTTTTGAAGGTTAGAAACAAGAATTAGTAACTGGAAGGATTTCAAGACACTCATTAAAAAAATTCTCAGACTTCACAGATTACATAGTAAAGGTTAGTGACATTTGCAAAGGAAAAAAACATCCATTTAACCTGTCTGCTTGTTTGCTGATTATATAAGTGGCCATATCATATAGAGCCATGAAGCACAAAAAATTAGCCACCCAAATCTCTGAAATGTGTTTGTGTTGAGTAGTATAAGGATGCTAAAGCCTCTTCCTTTATAACACTGTACTCCTATCCCTACAAGTCTAAATATCAACACTGCACACACAGAGCTCTGGTTTTCTTGCCTTGACCTAGACCAGGATTTCTGACAGTGGCACCGTTGACATTTTGGACCCAACTATTCTTTGTTAGAGGGGTGGGGAGGCTGTCCTGTGGGTTGAAGGGTCACAGCACCCTTAGCCTCTACCCACTATATAGTATAATAGTAGTAGCTGCCCCATCTCCAGATGTGACTACCAGACATGACCACAGACACTGCCAAATGTCCCCAGAGGCAAAACTGCCCCAGGTTGAGGAGCACTGGTCTAGAACCAGACATTCTTCTTCTTTCATTTTCCCTTAAAATAGGAAGGTCTGAATCAGCAGTTAACTTTTACAGGGAGAAATTAAAAGGCAGCATAGCTGTGGATCAGGAAACAGCCAAGATTTTACTGGTTTCCTCTGCAGGTAAGTAAGGGTACTGAATAAATTCCAGCCCATGATATTAGCCTTTCTTTAGATGAGTCTTGTTGACAGGCTTTCTTCCTTTGCTACAAAACATAACAAAACATAAAAAGGGAGTCCAACCAATTTACATGGGATGCTTTTGATGTATAAATATACTGATGAGTGGGGATGATCCCACCATAAGGCTTTTTCATGGCTTATTAAAGGAAAATGGGCATCTCCCAAGTGAACAGCAACCAAATCTCACTCTGGAATTAAGTTTCTCCAGGTGTTCCAGTGTTCAGGGGAGAAATAACTGTATGTCCTTGTCCTGATCCTGATTTTAGAGGAAAAGCTTTCAGTTTTTCACCCTTATGATGTTAGCTGAGGGTTTGTCATATGTGGCCTTTATTTATTATGTTGAGGTGTTTTCCTTCTCTACCCATTTTATTAAGTGTTTTAATCATAAATGGATGTTATATCTTGTCAAATGCTTTTTCTTCATTTATTGATATAATCATATGATTTTTATCCTTTATTTTGGTTCTGTGGTGTATCACATGGATCAAGGTTAAACCATCCTTGTGCCCCTGGGATGAAGCCTGCTTGAGCGTGATGTATAATGTTTTTAATGTATCATTTTATTCGATTTGCTAGTATTTTGTTTAGGATTTTTGCATTTGTTTTATCAGAGATATTGATCTGTAGTTTTCTCTTTTTGTGTTACCTTTACCAGGTTTTGGTATCAGGGTAATGTTGGCCTCATAAAATGAGTTAGAGGGGCCAGCCAAGTGGCTTAGTTGGTTAAGAGCTCACTCAAGAGTGTGAGCTCTGTGCTACAGCAGTTCGATGCCCAGCCTGAGCTGAGCTGCCGCTGAGCTGCCAACAGGTGGCAGGATGGCTCAGCTTAAAAATAATAATAATAAAAAAATAAAATAAAATGAGTTAGAAAGTATTGCCTCTTCTTTAATTTTTTGGAAGTTTGAAAAGGACAGGTATTAAATCACCTTTGAACGTTCGGTAGAATTCACTAGTGAAGCCATTTGGTCATGGACTTTTGCTTTTGGGGAAGTTTTTGTGATTGTTTCAATTTCCTTACTGTTGATCTGTTGACGGTCTATTCAGATTTTCCAGTTCTTTGTGATTCAGTCTAGGAAGGTTATATATTTCTAAGAACTTGTCCACATCTTCTAGGTTATGGAATGTGGTGGCATATAGTCTTTCATAGTATTCTTGTATGATCCTTTGTATTTCTGTGCTATCTATCGTAACTTCGCTTTCATTTCTGATTTTGTTCATTTGTGTCCTTTCTCTTTTTCCTTTAGTGATTCTAGCCAGGGGCTTGTCAATTTTACTAATCTTTTAAAAAAAACAGCTTTTGGTTGCATTAATTCTTTCTATTGTCTTTTTGTTCTCTATTTCATTTAATTCTGCCGTAATTTTTATTATTTCCATGTCTATAGTGATATAACCTACCCTGTTATTACCCCTTTTGCTGCATCCCAAAAGTTCTGATATGTTGTATTTTCATTCTCATTTGTTTGTATATATCTCTGATCTCTCCTTTTATTTCTTCTTTGACCCAGTCGTTCTTTAGTATCATGTTGTTTAATCTCCACATATTTGTGGTTTTTCCCACTTCCTTTTTGCAGTAGATCTCCAATTTCAAAGCAATGTGCTTGGAGAATATGCTTGGTATGATTTTTTTTTTAAGATTTTTATTGGGTAATTGGGGGGATGGGAACAGCGCTGGGGAATTGGGGGAAGGGGAACAGACAAGTTGCTGTCGTTTTGTTCTTCAATCTAGTTGTGGAGGACGCTGCTTCACTGGCCCAAGTTGGCACCATCATTGCCTCTTCCCGGGCGAGGCAGATCAGTCGCCGGCTTCTGGACGGCCGCTCACTGCGGCTGCTGGCCGCTCACGCTGGCTGCTGGCTACACACGGTAGCCCATGGCAACCCACTGCAGCAGGGGCTGCAGCCTATGCCGTCGCCAGCAACTCATGGCAGCCCAGCTCCAGGTTGAGCTGTTGTTCAGCATCTTAGCTGTAGAGGGCAGTGTCACTGGCCCTCATATGTGGGATCTGAACCGGGGCCCTCTGGCATCCCAAGCGAGTTCTTAACCATCGCGCCACTCGGCCGGCCCTGCTTGGTATGATTTTAATCTTCTTAAATTTGCTGAGGCTAGTTTTGTGTCCCACCATATGGTCTATCCTTGAGAATGTTCCATGTGCATTAAGGAATGTATAATCTGGTGCTCTGGGATGAAAGACTCTGTAAATGTCAATTATGTCCATTTGATCGAATGTGTCATTTAAGGCTAATATTTCCTTATTGATTTTCTGTTTGGATGATCTACCATAGATGTCAATGGGGGTATTTAGGTCCCCTGTTATAATTGTGATTTTTGTCAGTTTCTTCCTTTAGTTCAGTTAGTAGTTGCTTTATACATTTTGGTGCTCCCTGATTGGGAGCTTATGAGGTATGATCAGACAATATGGTGAGGGCCGGCCAAGTGGCTCAGCTGGTTAAGAGCTCGCTTGGGAGCGCCAGCTCTGAGCAACAGGGCTGCGGTTCAGATCCCACATTGAGGGCCAGTGATGCTCGCCCTCTACAGTTAAAATGATGAACAACAACTCGACCTGGAGCTCGGCTGCTGTGAGTCGCCAGCGACAGCGTAGGTTGCAGCGTAGGTTTAATTCCCCAATAAAATCTTTAAAAAAAAAATACGGTGAATGTTTAAATTAAAAAAAAAAACATATTACAGTAAAAGACACATTGCCATTAATCCCCCTCAAAATACTCCCTCTTGCTTCAAACACACTTATCCCATCCATCTTGCCACTTTCTGAAGGAGTTCTGGAAGTCCTCTTTCATGAGTGTCTTTAGTTATGCTGTCATGGCTGCCTCGATGTCCTGAATCATCCTGACTTTGGGGAAGAGCCAGAAGACACATGGTGCCAGATCCAGATAATGAGGTGGATGAGGACACACCGTAATGTTCTTAATTGACAGAAATTCCTGTATACCAGAAGCGATGTGTGACCCAGAGCATTGTCATGATGGAGGATGATATATGACACACTTTAAAACACACCTTCTCTTAACCATAGCTCACACCCAACTGTGCACCAAACAAGTTGAAACTTGTCACACACTGTTACTAAGGTTCGACACGACACGCTGCTTCCTGTATTGAAGATCCTTGCCTTTCTGTTGGATGGCACTCAACAGCAGCACTCATTGTATTTTGTGATCCCAAAGGCTCTGTGTCACACTTTGCTTCTGGTACAGCAATTTCTGTCAAATAAAAACATTATGATGTGTCCTCATCCACCTTATTCACTGGATCTGGCACTGTGCAACTTCTGGCTCTTCCCCAAAGTCAAACTGACCATGAAAGGTAAACGTTTTGAATCGATTCAGGAGCCATGACAGCACAACGAAAAACACTCATGAAAGAGGGCTTCCAGAACTCCTTCAGAAAGTGGCAAGAAGGATGGGATAAATGTGTTCAAAGAAAGGGGGAGTATTTTGAGGGGGGTTAATGGCAATGTGTCTTTTACTGTAATACATTTTTTTATTTAAACATTCACTGTAGTTTTTTATCATACCTCATATATATCAAGTGTTATGTTTTCTTGTTGTATTGTCCCTTGATCATTACGAAATGTCCATCTTTGTCCCTTATTACCTTGTTTATACTGAAGTCTGTTTAGTCAGATATAAGTATAGCTACACCCATTTTTCTCTGAATACCACTTGCTTGGAGTATTGTTTTCACTTTCACTTTGAGTCTATATTTGTCCTTGCTGCTGATGTGTCTCTTGAAGGCAGCATATGGCTTGGTTTTGTTTTTTGATCCAATCTGCTACTCTGTGCCTTTATCAGTGAGTTTAGCCCATTTATATTTAGGGTGATTATTGATACACGAGGATTTCCTATAGTCATTTTGTCTTTTGTTTTCTAGGAGCTCTATGTCTTCAATGTTTCTCTGCCCTTGTGTTTCTGTCTGTTATTTTAATTTGGTGGTATTCTATGATGTTTTTGCTCTGTTTTCTCTTTTTTTATATTATGTGTCTCAGTTCTGGATTTTTTTGTGTGTGAACACCATCAAGTTTACATAAAAGAAGGTTTCATATATACAGTGCTACTTTTTCTTCAGCATGCATCTTATCTCCATTCCCCTTTGCAAATTCAGACTTTTACCTCCTCCCCTTTTATGTTTCTGTTGTCACAAATTATCCTCATTTATGCTGTGAGTTCATTTCCGAGTTGCAATAGCTATTATCTTCTTCTCTTTCTCTTTTTTATATTTTTACCTGCTTTCACCTTTACGTTATATTTAAGGATGCAGTGCCCTATTCTGAATAAGGGCTGCAATTCCCGGCTTCTGTATCCATTAGTCATCTTACTGATAGCTTCATATCCTTTTGTCTTTTTGTTTCAGGTAGAATAAACTCCTTCAGTATTCCCTGTAATGTATGCCTTATGATTTCACACACTTTTGGTAAGAGTACAAGTTAGTACAAACTCTTTGGAAGACAGCTAGCATGATCTATGAAGATTTAAAATGCATTTACCACTAGACACAACAATTCCTCTCTTTTAGACCTTAGTCTCCTGATAAACTCTACTTATATACAAAGACATGTACACATAATAGCAAAAAATTGGAAATGACCTAAATTTCCATCAAGAAGAGACTGTTAAATTAGGCACCCCCATAAAATGGAATATCCTGAGGTTATTAAAAATAAATAGAGCTATTTGTGCTAATAAGAAAAATCTCCAAGATTTATTGTTACAGGAAAAAAGGCAATATTTATATATTTATTTGTGTGCATATATGTGTTCCCACTTATGTTTTTAAGAAATAAAAGATGCATGCGTTTCCATATGCACAGGCTATTTCTGGAATAATGCAGAGGAACACTGGAGAGAGGGACTGTGGAGTCTGAGGTGGGAGAATCGTTTTTATTTCTCTCTTTTGTCCTGTTTGAAAAATTTTTTTGCCACATGTAAAGAATTACTTTCCATTATATTTATATGTTTATATAGTAAATATATATTTATATATACCTAATCAAATTTAAAATTCAAATGGCTGTGAAACTATATATATCAACGTATGTGAATATACATATATTAATCTGTATACACATTTAACTGAAAGACATAATATGTAAACATTTGAGAATTTATTTTATCATATATATATATATATATATATATATATATATATATACACATATGTATTATTTGTAGCCCTCCCACCTATAAGAAAATAAAGTTACCCCTCCATCAAGGGGTAAATTCATAGGCTTCCCAATTTAAAAGCCAAGATTTTAATCTTAACTTCAATTTCAGAACTTGACAAAAATGCTTTTGCTTTATCAAATTTAGACAAATTTAAACCCACTAACAGTTACTGATATCTGATGTTTTTATGCTAGGCAAACAATTTGGGCCATCAAATAATCATAAATGTCTCCTGAAAAAAAAGGACAGTTAATTAAGAACCAAGAAGCTGGCTCACTCAAAAAAAGGTCCTTCTCAACTAAAAGAATGTTACCTATTTGCTCTAAACCGTAGAATAAAAATACCGGTAGTTAAAATTTGTTGATGTGCTACTATGTGCCAAAACTGTTTTAAACGCTTTATGTGGATTATCTTTATTCCTTAAAATAATCCTATAAGGTAAGTATTATTATGTACCCATTTTACCGATAAAGAAACTGAGGCATAGAGGGCCTAAAAGGTGAGCCAAAATTCAAATCTAGGGACCAGGACTTTGCAAATCTGAAACCCATCCACTTACAAGATTACTGTGACATACCTGTGGACAGCCCCACTCCTCAGGGTGATTTTTTCTGTGACCATTTGTAACACGTGATCCCACTGATTCAAGGCTTTTCTAGGGATGAGGAGGCGAGCAGCCGGGCTTATGAGGTCTCCATTTGCAATCAAGCTGGACAAAAAGCAAAGTCAGTGAGCCACACCATTTGAAACAGTAATGCCTTTAAAACTACAGAGCAAACCCCAAACCAAAAGGAAACCACCAGCCAATTTCAAACTGAACTGTAAAGGGCTCCAACTTACAAGATAGTGCAGGGCTCCTGAAGTGGTTTTCTAAATCGAGCTGACACATTGATCCTGCTGTGAATTACTGGTTTTACCTTTAAAAGCAAAGAAACCAAATCACTGAGCTTATGTTATTTTTTATATATATATTAAGGAAAACCTATAGGTTTCTAGGGAACTGGCTGAGACCTAGTGTGCCTGTGTTAAAATCTTGCTTTTTTTCCCACTTATATAAACACTCTGGGCTCGCCCTCTGTCAATATTATGTGGCCTTAACAAAGTTCTCAAGAAAAATTTCCCTTAAGCCCTGTGAATACTGCTCGTGATCTATGCCAACACAGACGCTGTTGGACTGTTATGAGAGTTCCAAAGCAACTTTTTAAAATAATGCTTTCTGTTAAACAAAAATAATCTTATGAAATCTTCAACTCTGAAGTTCCGCCTCCAGCCACACATCCTATGTCTTGTCATCTCTCTTCGCCCACCTTCATTTCACCTACTCTCTCAATCTAGGCCCCTACTGGGTGCTTGAACCCATCCTAGTATCTTAAGACTGACTCAGTCCCTTTTTTCGACTTCACTTGCTCTGCCATCCATCTGTCACCCTCCCACCAGCGCCCTCGATTCCCAAACTCCTTGCTTCTGGGCGGGTCTGGTCAGCTCTCTCTCTCCTTTGCTTCCGGGGACCAGGTGGTTGTTAGCAAGAACCACATGGCTCCACAATGACCTGCCTGTGACAGAGCTTTGGCATCGGCCAGACCTCTTCTCCACCCAAGTCAATTATTTCTTATATTTCCTACAGTGCCAGTCCAAATCCCTACTTCTTATCTTAAACCCTAAAATCCCACTCCAGGGAAACACTCACTCTCAGCATATCCCTACCCTCCAAACTTCAGGAAACAGAGGCCAACAGGCATGAAGGCTTTCAGCCTCCTTCTCCGCCACAACCCACCTCATCTACAGCTTCACCACTTCACTTCTTCTGCCTGTCTTACAAGGAGGATCTTCACCCCTTTACCAAGCTAACCCCCCATCCGGATTTTGTCCCCTGCTGCCTCTACCTGCTCCGTTAATCACGGAGGACCCTCCACCCCCATCTGGTGCCTTCAATTTCTCCCTTGACCCTTTGGCCCTCTCAAGCATTATCCTGTCCCTGTCACTCCTCCTCACCCTTCATATTCCTACTTTCTTCGGCCTCACCCTCTCTTCCATCTTCTGCTACCTGATTTCCGCCTCTGCCACTGAAAGATAGCACCCGCCTCTCAAGCATGGCCTGCAAGAATCCCCCTGACCAGTCACTGCTTACTCAGTTCCCTCACCTCCGACCCACGCTCCTTCCATGCAGACCTATAGCCGTGCACTTTATAGTCTACCTAGCCTGCTCCCCCACCATTCCCAAAACACAGTCGCCTCTGTGATCTGGCCCCTCTGCATACAATGCCCTCCGCATTTCTCCACCTGCTGAAACTCCATTTGTTAGGCCCAGCTCAGTTATCACCAGTCTTTCTCTATTCATTCTTCCTTAGCTTTCTGTCTCAAACTGCAGCTACTGCTATAGCACTGATGACAGTGTTTTTGGTTTTAGAGATTTTTTTCCCCCTGATTTGAAAAGAAAATGTATAAGCAAAGGAAACTGATTAATAAAAATAGCTAACATGTATAGGACTGTATTTAATGGAGAACACTATACTAAGTTAATTTACATGCATTATACATCATTTAATCATTAAAGGATGCCCTGAAGAAAGTATTATTACTACAGCCCCATTTTACATATGAAGAAATTAGAGCTTAATTAATTTGCCTCAAATCACACATAATAAGGGGCAGAGTTGTTAGTGAACCCATATCTGTGAACCTCTAACTATTTGTTATGCGTTTTACTAGTTATTTTAGAGATCGGGTATTAACACTAAATACTTTATGGAGCTTTTTCCTCTGTAAATTCTGCCATCTTCTAGAGGAACAAAGAGCATACATTTTTCGGTGACTCTCCAGTGACTAAAAAAAAAAAAATCCCTGCAATGCCTGCCAGCTGCACAATAAATGTTTGATAAAATTTAATTTAAAATACTCTAATTTACAACACATGGATCAAACGAACAAAATAGAGAGCCTAGAAATAAACCCACTCATGGATGGTCCATTAATTTATGACCAAGGAGCCAAGAACATACAATGCGGAAAAGAGAGACTTTTCAATAAATTATGTTGGGAAAACTGAATAGCCACATGCAAAAGAATCAAACTGGACCCCTACCTTACATCATACACAAAAATCAACTCAAAATAGATTAAATCATAAAACTCCTCGAAGAAAACATAGGGAGTAAGCTCCTTGCCCAGTGCTAACAAGTGCTGGCGAGGATGTGGAGAAAAGTGAACTGTGTGCACTGCTGGTGGGATTGCAAATTGGTGCAGCCACTATGGAAAACAGTATGGAGGTTCCTCAAAAAAGTATAAATAGAACTACCTATGACCCAGCAATCCCACTTCTGGGTATTCATCTAAAGGAAATGAAAACTAGGATCTCAAAGAGATATTTGCACTCCCATGTTCATTGGAGCATTATTTACCATAACCAAACACAGAAACCACCAAAGCGTCCACTGAGGAATAAATGGATAAAGAAATGTGGTATGTATGTACACACACACACACACACACACATACACACACACACACATACACACATATACACACATACACACACACACACAGTGGAATATTATTCAGTCATGAGGAAAAAAAAATCCTGCCAATTTTAACAACCTGGGTGGACCTTGAGGGTATTATCCTAAGCAAAATAAGCCAGACCAATAAACAAACAAATAAACAAACACACACACACACAAACAAACAAACTACATGCTATCACTTATATGTAGAATCTTTAAAAAAAAAGATTCTGGCTCAGTTGGTTAAGGGCTTGCTCAAGAGGTTGAGCTCTGAACAACAGCGGTTCGATTCTGGCCTGAGATGAGCTGCCGCTGAACTGCCAACAGATGGCAGGATGGCTCAGCTTAAAAAAATTTTTTTTAAATAAAAATAAAAAAATAATAATAATGATGATTAATAATAATAATAATAATAATAATAAATCAAACTCATAGAAACAGGGATTGGAAAAGTTGTTGCCAGGGATTGGGGTGGGGAAAATGGGGAAAGGTTGGTAAAGGGGTACAGACATTCAGCTATAAGATGGATAAGGTCTGAGGATCTAATGCACAACGGAGGAACAAAAGACACTCTAATTTCAAGCAAAACATTCTTTAATTCACTCACCATAATTTGACATTTTGAACCCAGAAATTCTTGGCCCTAAACTAACATTTACAGTGATACTGACTTTCTTAAAAAATGTTTAACAGGTAATGCATGCAACTAAATAAAATTCAAGTGGTAAAATGGGGCCTACTGTGAAAAGGAAGTATCCTTCCCATTCCTGTTCCCCAACCAAAAAGTGGTGACCAGAGTTAGCAATATTCCTTCAAAGATAGCCTATACATACATATGAGCATTATCTGATGTACTTACAATTTTTATACACAAGTGATACCCTGCTATACCGCTTCTTCTGTATCTTGCTTTCTTCATTTAACAATTTATTATGGAGACTATTCCATATTGGTACTTAAAGTAAGGGATGCTTCATTCTTTATAACAGCTGTGTATATTCCACTCTAAGAACATGCCATAGTTTATTTAACCAGTCCCTTAATGATGGTTTCCAAACTTTCCCAAACTTTGATTGTTTCCAAACTTCTGCTGTTGTAAATAATGCCATGATGGGTTTCCTTATAAACACTTATTTGTGTAAGCATGTAAGTATATCTGTAGAATAGATTATTAAACCTGAAAATCTGCTGAAATAAAGGATAACCATTTTTTTTAGTTTAATGGAATTTATGGCAAACGTACTCCTGATGGATCTCGAGTCTCTTGATTTATTTAGTTTATACTACAGCACAAGAAAACAGACTGATCTACAAGGAGTGTGGTTTCCAATGCTTTTAAACGACTACGAATCCCTCTCCCATCAGATTCCTTATTCATAAGGCTCAGCACGTTTGACTGCAAATGAGTCTCTCTTTTTTTTAAGATTTTATTGGGGAATTGGGGAAGGGGAACAGCCAAGTTGTTGTCCTTCAGTCTTAGCTGTGGAGGGCACGGCTAGCTCAGCTCCAAGTCCAGTTGCCATCCGGCTGCCCATCGGCAGCTTGCGGCCACTTTGCTCAAGGTGCTGTGTTCAATCTTAGTTGCAGGTGGGCGTAGCCCACCATCCCATGTGGGAGTCCAACCGGCAACTTTGTTGTTAGGAGCATGTGCTCTCACCAGCTGAGCCATCCTGCCACCTGTTGGCAGCTCAGCAACAGCTCAGCTCAGACGCAGCTCACTGGCTCATGTGGGAATTGAACAAGTGACCCTGTTGCTCAGAGCTCGCACTCTTAACCAACTGAGCCACTCGGCTGGCCCTGAAAATGAGTCTTCACCTGTGTGAAGAACAGGCCTTTCTGACTCTGGGCCTGTGCTAACAGTGTCTTCCTCTAGAAATCATCCCCACCTTTCAAATATGACTACACTGCCTCTCTGACCACTCAAAGCTACTGCCACATCCCTCGTTCTCTGCCACCCAGTCTTGCCTAATTATTTTTTCCATAACATTTAACCATCATCTGACATATTGTACATATTATTTATTTGGTTTTTATTTTCTTGTGCCTATTATTTTTTAGTTACTCTCAAAAGAGAAATACGAGATTACAGAGCAGCAGAAAATTGATCAGAAAGCCGTGGACTCGCAAATTCTGCCAAAAATCAAAGCTGTTCCTCAGCTCCAGGGCTACCTCCGCTCTGTGTTTGCCCTCACAAATGGGATTTATCCTCACAAACTGGTGTTTTAAATTTATTACGAAGCACCTAATTAAATGGTTGGTCTATTAAAAAAAAAAAGTAACTAGTAATGTACTGAGCACAAACTTCATACTCAGTTTTTATTTTTTCAAATGTTTTGCCTGCCAACCTTGATCGCTTTAATACCTTGCTGGATTGTTGAATTAAAGATGAAGATGAATAAGCTATATAAACAAATAAC